ACAGATGAGTGGTGACTACGCATGAGGTGCATTGGCCAGGAATCGAACCCTGGTGTCCTGAATGGAAGGGGAGAATTCTACCACTGAACCACCAATGTTCCTCCTAATAATATTAGCCATTATTACTCACTCATTCAATACTAATAATTCCTAACACTTAATAAGTGCTTACTCTGCCAGGCATTGTGCTGAGGGCTCATTTAATCCTGCCACCCAACTGATTTCCAAACTAAGTGCTGTACTATCATTATTCCCAGTTTTCAGATGAGGAAAATGAGTGATCAAGGAGCTAAATATCTTCTCCAAAGGCACAGAACCAGGAAGGTGTGGAGATCCAAACCCAGGAAGTCATGCTAGGACTTGTACTTCCCCACCACACCACCCTCTTCTCCAGAGAAATGAATAATAATCACTGGGTATTTCCTCTGTGCCAGGCACTGTGCTAGGTCCTCGGGCTTCTCTACCAGTCCCTGTGCATGTTTCCAAGGGTGGGCATGAGGCAAGATAGTGGCCAATCTCACGAAATTATCATTGGATTGATTGGCAGGTCCTCCGGCTCCTGTTGTCTGATCTGGTGATGTCATTCATTGTGTCTGTCTGCATTGTACTGAGCCACGTAGAGGTAGAGAAATGCCTCCCTGCCAGGGTTGATCATAGATATGCTTTGACTGTTTGGGTTGTAATGATTGTCCTCACATTGGTTTCCCTTCACCAGGGAGGTTCTGCGTGCTCCTTAAGAGCAGGGACCAGATCTTACTTGTCCCCAGATCTCTTTGCTCTAGCCCAGCACCTGGCTCTAAGTGCTACGTTGTTCATTGCCCTGGAGTCAGCTCCAACTCATGACTACCTCACATACAACTGAACGAAACATTGCCTTGTCCTGCGCCATCTTCAAAATACAAAGTGGCAGCAACAATGGACTTGAGCATACCAACTATTGTGAAGATGGCTCTAAGTAGGTGCCAGATAAATAGTTAATAAGCAAGGGTCCCTGGGTGGTGCAAACAGTTTACGTTCAACTGCTAACCTAAAGGTTGGCAGTTCAAACCCACCCGGTAGCTCCAAGGAAGAAAGGCCTGGAGATCTGTTTCCATAAAGATTACAGCCAAGAAAACCCTTTGGAGCAGTTCTACTCTGTAACACATGGGGTCTCTATGAGTTGGAATCGACTTGACGGCAATGGGTTTGGTTTTTCTTAAAGTCAATGAGCAAATGAGTGAATACGCAAGTAAATGAGTAGGTGAATGACTTAATAAAGAAATGTTTGGATAAGTGAGTGAGAAGGAGCCAGTGAGTGAGTAAATGAATGAACTCCTTGTTAGGAAGGGGATTATTAGACTCCTGAAGTGGAGGGCCCTTCTAACATCTTCTGTGTGCACCCTGCCACGACAGCATCTGCTCCTGCGGGGAGGAGCCTGCACACATTGTTGATGGGAAATGACTTCCAAACTTTCTTACTTTTCCCCTTTGACTTCCATACTCTCAGAGCCTGTGCACATGCACAGCGAGTGGCCTTTAAGTTGCTACTGCCTCATCATCTTTAACTCGCTCACAAACGTAGGCATAGATGTGGCCATTATGCTGAGTCTGAATCCAGAGAGATCACCAACCCTGTCTGCAGGGGTCTGGAATGAAACCTAAATCACAGCCCGTCGTGGGGGGCAAAGATACCCTAGTCAATCATGAGTATCAGTAAGTAGTGGTGTTTAATAATTTCTCCTCCACATGCCAGAGAACACTGATAAGCCAGTGGGGCGCACAGGGTCTGCCTGAGTCTGGATATTGGCTGTTAGGCAAGACACCACTCTCTCTGAACTTCCCAGTCCCCGTCTGTTAACTGACATCACAAAATTTTCTATCCAGCATCTGGCACACAGTAGGCACTCAATAGATATGAATAGCATGGATGGATGGATGGGTAGGTGGGTGGGTAGGTGGGTGGATGGTTGGATGGATCAATCGATGGATGGATCGATCGATGGATCGATGGATGGATGGATGGGAGAGCTAGAGATAGTGAATGTCCCTTTCATAGAATAAGCTGCTGGGTCCCTAACTTCAAGACCCAGCAAAGGCTCAGAGCCTCTTCCTTTCCACCCCTCCTCGGGCTGTTGAAGTGCCCCGTGAGAGGCCTCCCACGTCACAGGTGTCTCCTACACAATGGAGACGTTTCTAACCCAGGGGCACACCTCAGCCAGAGTAGTGGTAGGGCTTCACCAGCCCCTGCAGGCAGTCTTCCTGGAGATAGGAAGTGGAGCTCAGGCACTAGGGGACTTGGGCACTGAGGGGTGAGGAGGGCCCCATGGGTTTGGTGGGGGCAGGTAGGCCTGGAGGGCCTGGGAGCAGTCAGGCCTTCTCGAAGGCTCTTGCAGAATTTTAAAAAAGCAAAAAGCACAAGGGAAATTCCAGCCAGCCTGGCACACAGCATGTGTTTACATCAAACACAAAGCTTACAGTTTGTGTCATTGGGAGTTAATGGCAAAAGTCTGAATGTCAGGACCCTTGTGAACATGAGGCTTGGCCTTAGGACCCTCCTGCAACAAGCCCTACCCCCAGGCCTCTGCTTCTGTTAGGAATAATTGAGCACCATGTGCCAGGCACTCTTGTAAACACTAAACAGATTAAACACTAAACAGATTAACTCCTTTAATCCTCATAACACTCTGAGGTAGGTAGTAAGAGCATCCCCATTTTACAGACAAAGGAAGTGAGGCTCAGAAACGTGGACTCAGTTACCCAAGGTCCAGCACCATATGAAGTGGCACCAGGATCCCGGTCTGACAATACAACCCCAGCGCTTCCGAACGGGGCTACAAAAATTAAGGGGGACAGGGGGAAGCTTTGCAAAACTAGGTGGTTGGTTTGGAATGATTCTCAAACATTGGTGTGCCTCAAAATCCTTGGGGGCAGGGAAGAGGGTGCTTGCTTACAGTTCAGATTCCCTGGCTTGATCTGTCATCTGGTTCTGTAGGACTGTGGTGGAGCCTTAAAATCTGCATTTTGAACAGGCTTCTCAGTGATTTTTAAGAAGCCTGCACACAGATGGCATTCGGAGCAACACAATGTTTAAAGCACTCCAACCCTTACCTTGCGGTCTTCTCTACAGATGGTAAGGGGGCAAAGAAGGAGTTTGGGGTAGAAGAGAGAACACTGGTGATGTACCATTAAAAGCACATCAATAAGCCTCTATTGCCCATTAGTGGATGAACTGATAAACAAAATGTGGTACATACATACAATGGAATGCTACTCAGCCAGAAAGAGAAATGAAGTCTTGATTCATGCTACAACATGGATGAAGCTTGAGGACATTATGCTGGATGAAATAAGTCAATCATAAAAGGACAAATATTGTATGACCTCACTTACAGAAAAAGACAAGAACAGGCAAAATGTATAGAGACCAAAGTTTATTAGTGGTTACCAGGGCGGGAGGAAGGAGGAAAGGGGAGTTACTGCTTATGGAGCACTGAGTTTGTTTATGGTGATGGAAAAATCCCATTGATTAAGGGTAAGGTTGCACAGCTGATTAATGTAATTGATTCAATAAGTCGTACACCTGTAAAAAGCTGAATTGGCAAGAGTTGTGTGATAGATATATTTACAATAACAACAACAAAAAGAGCAGCTGCTGAGGCTGCTTGTGCACAACCAAACACCTCATGGGATTTGGTTTCTTGGTTTGGAGGTTTAGGGTCGTGGTTTCTTGGGACATTCCTGTTAATTGGCCTAATACCGTGTTTAGTGCTTCTTCTCTCTCCTATATTTTTTTCATAGTGCCTGGGGTCTTAAAAACTTGCTAGTAGCCCTACAAGTCACAACAATTGGTCTCCATTCGCCTGGAGCAACAGAGGAAGAAGGAGAGTCAGGAATAAAAAACCAAAAAAACCCTTGCCTTCAAGTCAGACTCATAGCAATCCTATAGGAACTGCCCTACAGAGTTTCCAAGACAGTAATCTTTACTGAAGCAGACTGCCACATCTTTCTCCTGCAGAGCAGCTGGTGAGTTTGCAATGCCTACCTTTCAGTTATAAGCAGAGCCCCACCAGGGCTCCTTGAGTCAGGAATAAACCTGTTGTGGTGGAGTCAATTCTGACTCATAGCAACCCTATAGGACAGAGTAGAACTGCCCCCACAGGGTTTCCAATTCTGTAAATCTTTACGGAAGCAGACTGCTGCATCTTTCTCTCAAGGAGCTGCTGGAGGGTTCAAACTGCAGACCTTTCTGTTAACAGCCAAGCACTTAACCACTGTACCACCAGACCTCCTGTGAGTCAGGAATAGGAGGAAGAAATGGAATGTGTGGCTAATTGCCTCCATGAACAACTGCCTCCTTTTCCATGAAACAAGAACTGGATGGTGCCTGGCTACCACTACTAAACGTTTTATTCAAAGATTCTATAGAAGAATCCTGGTCAAAAAGGGGAAATGCAGAACAGAATTAAAATTCTCATGGACTCCAGACTTTCTGGAGCCATGGAAGCTGGATGAACCCCTGAAACTATTGTCCTGAGATAATCTTTAAAACCTAAACCAGAAATATGCCCCAAAGTCTTCTTAAAACCAAATAATAGTAAAGAAAGTCTGCCTTGAGCGCTGTGCTCTTTTAAGAACTATCTACATGGGATCAAACTGACAACAGCAACTGGAAAAATTAGACAGGAGACTTAGGGGGCAGTGAGTTTATGTTAATGGTGGAGGAACAATTTGGAAAAGGAGGATGAGAATGGTTGTACAACTTGAAGCATGTCATCGCTGTCACTGAATTGTACATGTAGAAATTGTTGAATTGGTATATGTTCTCCTATTGTATAGTCTCAACAACAACAAAAAATAAAATAATTTAAAAAGAAAGCGCCTCTACTACAAACCCTACAAAAGGACGCCCCTTCTCCCCAGCAGCACCATCTCCATGAGGCTCCGCATATAGCTCCCTGAGCCCTACGAAATAAGGCGCTGTAATTCCACCCCGAGTCGCAGGGGTCGCCACTCTGCCTCGCTCAGACGGAAATTGGGCGGTGGCAAGGCAAGGCCTCACGCGGTAAGGCAGCCTCACTTCCGGCCTTGCGCGCGGAGGGTCTCAAGACGCCTGACGCCTGGTGAGTAGAGGTTGGTGATTTCTCGGATTCCGAAGTCCTCGGTCTCATAGGACCCTCCGTAGCGTACCGCTGCCCACACGCTGTCCCAGAAATCGCTCTGCGTGACCCCCCAGCTATGTATTCTTTCCCAGCCTGGGCATTCCTCTTATAAATCAGCGTCAAGGCCCCCATTGCGGCCCTCTTCCCCGCGATTTTTCTAGTCAGGCATGCGCCCCCCTCCTTACCTCGTCCCTTATAACAGCCAAATCGCTCACATCTCCCATTCTCCTTCCTCCGGCGCCTTCTCCCAAGGCCACCTCCCGGCACAGAGCACTTTCGCGGGGATGGGGAGGGATGTCTGGGTGATGAACAGGCCTTTGTATCCCCTTAAGCGTCCTTTTGCTCCCTCCCTCGCCCCTCTTTGCAGACGGTTACCATGAAGTTCAATCCCTTCGTGACCTCGGACCGCAGCAAGAACCGCAAACGCCACTTCAATGCTCCCTCGCACGTGCGCAGGAAGATCATGTCGTCCCCGCTCTCCAAGGAGCTGCGGCAGAAGTATAACGTCCGCTCCATGCCGATCCGCAAGGACGACGAGGTCCAGGTACATCTCTCGGCTCTCGTCACCGAGCCGCGTGGCGCTCAGGCACCACCTTTGCCCGAGCACGTTGCGTGTGCTTTAGTTTTAGAAGAATCTCTTGCTCAGTTAGCAATCAGCAGATTCACATGTCTTCAGGACCCTGACAAGAAACCGAAATGTGTGACCCTGCAGATGCGGTAGACCAGAGATGGGGCCTAGGGCCATCAGAGAGTACCTGCCCTACTCAAGAGTATTAAAATTCAATTCTTTAATAGTAATCGTTAAAAAAAAAAAAAAAAGGTATGCCATCCAAACAAAAATTTGCTTTTCATTTGGTCCCGTGCCCACTAGTTTGTCCCGTTAATGCTCAGGGTGGTTCTTTGAACCAGACTTTCCGGGGATAGTGCTGTAGAGAGAGTAGTGTTTTGGTATCATTGGGTTTAAGGGATTGGTGAACAGGGATTTGTGGAGGCTGGACATATGATGATATTGGATTTGGTTATGAAAACACAGAGGGAGAAAGAACTCAGAGGAGTGAAAATAAAGAGTGTAGCCCACATGGGAAAGTATTAGTTCTCTCTCTGACTAGAGTTTAGGGCGTGTGGGAGGGGAAAGGAAAGTAGGCAAGGGCTAGCTTCATTCCTTGAATAAATATTGAGCACTTACCAAGCACTGTAGACAATAGCAGTGAACAAGACACACAGCCCCTGCACTCATGGGCTTACATTTTAGAGCAGGGTTTCCCAACCTCGACACTGTTGACATCTTGGACCCAGTAATTCTTTGTTGTGGGGGCTGTCCTGTGCGTTATAGGATGTTCAGCAGCATCCCTGGCCCCTGCCTATTAGATTACCAGTAGCATCCCTCTCCAAGTCCTGACAACCAAAAATGTTTCCAGACATTGCTAGATGTCACCTGGGGCAAAGGGGAGCAAATCCACTCCACCCTCAGTTGAGAACCATTGCTTTAGAGAATGAAATAAGGCTAAGGGGTTTGGTATATCTTCTAAGCCATTGAGACTTTTTGAAGGACCGAAGGATATGTTAAAGAGGAAAAGAATGGAAGCAGGGGAGATAGAACTAGAAAATTTGGATTCTCTTCCTCAGTCTCACATTTGCTTCCATCTGCTACTCTGTTCCCCATTCATAGCCAAACTCCTCAAAAGAGTCGTCCGCACCTCCTCACCTCTCATTCACTCTTAGACAGACTCCAGCCTGACCTCTGTTCTCACTACTTTCCAGAAACTGCTTTTGGTTGAGATCAGGAATAACCTTGTTTAATCAAAATTCAATGCACACATCTTGATCTCATTGTACTTTTCAGCAGCATTTGGCGTAGGTGGCACCTCCTTACTTGAAATTATCTCTCTTTTTGCCGTCAGGGTCACAGTTTACTTCTGACTTCTCAGATTCTTTTGCTGCTATTTCTCCTCCGTGTGATCCCTAAATGCTGGAGTTCATCAGAGGCTGGGCCTGGTCTGCCTTCTCTTCTAGCTCTTTATTCTTTACCAAGGTGATAAGATCTACTCTCAGAGCTTGAAATATCTGCTGTGTGCTAACAACTCCCTCATTTATATCCATTCCAAACCACTTTTCTGTGCACAGACCTGTAGCTCTAACTACCTGCTGCTGAACGTTTTGATTTAGGTATCTCATGGGCATCTCAAGCTTCTTATCCAAGAGTCCTCTTGATCCTAACACCCCGGCTGCCTCCAAAATCTGATTTTTTTAAAAAACTGTTGCCATCTGGTTGATTCTGACTCATAGCAGCCCTATGGGACAGAGTAGAACTGCTCCATACGGTTTCCAAGGCTGTAAATCTTTACAGAAGCAGTCTAGCACAGCCTTCTCCCAATTTCCAACTCACAGGCATCGCCATCTCTCTCCTGGATTACTATGATAGCCACCTAAATTCTTCCAGCCTTTACTCTTATATCCCTGTTCATTCGCCACAGAGTGATATTCACGGATCAGACCCTACTTAAAACCTCAGTGGTGCTTGACGCTTGATGTGCTTACTGTAAAATCTAAAATTGTTGACTACAAGGCCCTATGTGATCTAGTTCTGGTCTACCTTTCCAGCCTCATCTCATCCCATTCTTTGCTCTTTGTGCTCTACACTTCAGCCACACCGGCCTTTTCAGGTCCTTAGATAGAGCTTGATCTTTTCTCCTTCTGGGTCTTTGCCCAGAATGCTGCCTCTGCCTAAAGTGTCCATCCTTCTCGCCTTCACCTGGGTGTCTCCTGCTCATTTTTCATCGATTCCTCAGGAGCCTTCCAGATCCTTCAGTCAAAATCATAGCATCCTTTATTTTTCCTTCATAACAGTGAACACAATTTGAGATCTTTATGTTTTTTAACTGAGGCATAATTTACATACAATAAAGTATACCGATCAACGAGTTTTGACAAATGTAAAACTGTGTGGCCACCACCGTAATTATGATATAGACCATTTTTGTCATCCCAGGAAGTTTCCATATGCCTATTCCAGTTAATGATAATATACTGGTATGTTTATTTATTTTAACTGTTTATTACCCATTATACTAAGCTGCATGAGGCTAGAGAGCTTGTCTGTTTTGTTGCCTTACCCCAGTGCAGAGCCTAGCACACAGTTGGGCTTCGTCAATGTTTGTTGAATGAATGAAAAAAAATGTTGACTGACAGATACAGAAGGTAAGATAAAGGAGGAGGGGAGGAGAGCAGAAGGAGCTACCTCTTTTTTTTTTTTTTTATTTAATGCCTATGAGATAAATGAATTGTTTATTTTTTAAATATGAAGAAACTGAAACTCAGAAAGGTTAAGTAACATAGAAACAATACAGAAAATGAGTGTCAAAACCAGGAATCCGGGTTCTGACTCCAAAGACCAAACTTTTATCCACTTAACCACCAGGAGAATAAAATAGCCCCAGTTGGGTTTGTTAAAACTACCTCTTCTTTCTTAGGATTTTCTGAATTTTATTTACCTATCTCTTTCTAAGTAGGTGATTATTCCTTCTACTTTACAGAGGAAATTGAAGCCATTAGCCAGGAACACTCTGCCCCTGGTGTCACACCCACCAGCTTACCTGTAGTTCTACCCATCTTGTCCTCCTACTCTCCTGTTAACAATAAAGAGAATCCCTATTTGTGTCTAAAGCTAATCCATCTGCCACTGTGCCCTTCCGTCTTCTCCTCTCACCTCTTGGAAATCCTTACAATCATTATCCCATATTTTCTTTAGTTTCTCATCAGCATATAAGTACATTCATGGTTTTTTCTTCCTTAAAAATAAAAAATTTGCCCTTAACGTCACACCCCCTTCCAGCATTTATCTATTCTCTCTCTCATCCTCCTCCCAGCCAAACCCCTTAGGATTGTCTTTTCTTACTTTGCTGACCTTCTCACCTTTGGTGCACTTACTGTACACGGCCTCCATCCCACCACTCCACTGAAAGCTCTTTAGCCATGCATTTGGCATTCTTTGCTTAGCTGCTGTAATACCACACCCCCGTGGTTTCCTGTTCTCTCTGGCCACCTCAAGCTCTTCTATAGTGTTGGCTTTTCTTAGATTTCTGTATTTTCTCCTCTTCTCAGAACTCCCTGATCTAAATCAAGCATTGAATGGCCATCTCTGTGGGTGACTCCCAAGTCTCTGTTGCTGGCCCAATTGGCCTTCCAGGTGTGTATGGAATTCTATACCACAATATCCTGCGGATGCCTCAAATTCACCATGCTCTAAACGAAACTGTTTTCTTCTAATATCTTTTTCCTTTGTTCCATTTCTCTGGGAAAGGCACATCTGTCCATCTAGCTGTCCAGGCCAAACTCTGGATATTGTCCTTGCCTCTTGTCCCTCACATTTATGGTCCAGTTGATTTAGTCTTATCTCCCTCCTGACTAGGTCTGGTGTATGGCCACTTCTGTTTATACCTGCTGTTCCTTTGGGCTTGTTTTACTAACATCTTTCTTTAGTCTTGATAGTTAACAGTGGCTTTTCCACAGACTTCTTCCGAGTTTGCTCTGAACTGGGTAGATTTTGAATGAGGCCTAACTGTCCTCTTTTCAACCTCAAAATTGCCTTGGAAAGTAAATTGAACACTCTAGGTGGACATTTTAGGATTCTCATTGAGATTCTCTGGTTCTTTACGTGTGGTATTTCCTCTATGCTTATTAATCAGCAAAAACCATGGTGGCGTAGTGGTTAAGAGCTATGGCTGTTAACCAGAGGGTGGGCAGTTCATATCCACCAGGCACTCTTTGGAAACTATGGGGCAGTTCTGCTCTGTCCTGTAGGGTCGCTATGAGTTGGAATCGACTCGATGGTGATGGGTTATTAATGGACATAACTTACATTTGTCTGCTCTTTAGTAGGCTCTTTACTTTGGGGAAATTATAACCTAATTGAACCCTTCACCATACTTTTTAATAAAGTTAATGCTTAAGCAAATTTTTTAGTATGGTAGAATAGCCTACAAGATCTTAATATTTTGACTTTTTATAATTATAAAATATTTGTCTATTGTAGAAAATTTTGAAAAACGAGAGAATGGGAGAAAATAATTATACATAATACTATTTCCTAGAGACAACCTTGTTAGCATTTGGATATTCTTTTCCATTGTTTTCTATGCCTTTTTTTTTTTTTTTTTTTTTTTTTTTTTTTGGTGGTGAAAAAATGCATAACAAAATATATGTCATCTCAACCATTTCTACGTGTACACTTACAGTTTTTGGTTTTTGGTTTTTTTTTTAACTCTTGCAACTAGTTCTGTGATGACCATCCTAGTTCAAGGAAATTGTTTGTTCTTCAGATAAGAAGTAATTCAGATGAAGAATTTCCACCTGACCTAGAATAACACAAAGCAGATTTATACCAGAAAAGCATCTGATTTTTGAATGCTAGGAGTAATCTGCTTTTGTACAAAAGGCTGTGTCTTCAGCCTGCATGTTCCTGATAATTAGCTTCCTTCTGTATTATAACGTTTAAACATTAGAAATGACGGGAAATTCTTGGTTGTATTTTCTTTTAGGTGGTTCGAGGACACTACAAAGGTCAGCAAATTGGCAAGGTAGTCCAGGTGTACAGAAAGAAGTATGTCATCTACATCGAGAGGGTGCAGCGCGAGAAAGCTAATGGTACAACTGTCCATGTGGGAATTCACCCAAGCAAGGTATGGTCTGGTACTGAGTAGTGGCAGCAGCAGTGTAGTGTAGCATTGCTGTTAAGGGTTATCGACCTGCTGGTGCTGTGTACACAGGTGGCCGTAGTAAGGCCTCCCAGAGGTGGGCCAGGCAGGCTTGATTGATAGATTCATTGGCTTAGTGATATCATTAAGGATCTAGATTGTTTTCTTATCTGTTTTGTCATCATTGGTGTTGAATCCATTTTTGAGGCTGGTGGCAAGAGGGCTCCAGGTGTTCCAGGCCTCACTTCCCTACTAGATAATGTCCAGAGGGAGAAGAGAGGACACCTTGTCTTGTGACCCTCACCCCAACCTAGTGGAGTATGGTGTCTCTCCTTTGTGCCCCCATTTTATGCATTGTATAATAGGGTCCTTCTCTCCTTCCAGAGTTTCAGATCCTTAAGGGAAAAATGATTGGGGTCTTACTTATCCTTATGATCTCCGTATTGCCCAGCAGCTGGTGGGAATGCAGATAATTTTTAAAGCAATTCATTTTTGCTAGCCAAGGAATGATGAACAAACCAGAAACACATTGGTAGTCTAATTTTTACCCAACCCAAGTGATATTTCATATCACTAACTTCCCTAAATAGTCTCCTATGATCCTCAGGAGTTAGGGGAAGGGAGGCCAGATAGCAGAAGAAGGAATCCAAACCACTGTTGTTGAGGAAAGCTCTGCTGTAAAGGATAATTGTGGTTATAAGTCCTTTCCACTTAAAAAAAAGTAAACATCTGTTTTCTTACTCCTAACAGGTGGTTATCACCAGGCTAAAATTGGACAAGGATCGGAAAAAAATTCTTGAACGCAAAGCCAAATCACGACAAGTTGGAAAAGAGAAAGGCAAATATAAGGAAGAGCTTATTGAGAAAATGCAGGAATGAATATAACCTGTTGTACAACCACAGTTTAACCCTAGAATTTTAGCCTAGTGTGTGTTGGGAACTTTTCAAGATGTCTCTAGAACATTTCATTTTCCTCTTGTTTTATTGATAAGTGGCTGTTTAAATCTAAGATTTACCTCTGTAAATGTATTTTGATTAACAATTCAATGAATAAAAATTGGAAATGTTTCCCAGTTGCAAATGGTGTTTGCATTGTTTTGTAAATAAAGTCTATCTTGTTATCAAGTTCCCTTCTCAGTCTTTTACATGTTTAGTCTGGCAGGGTTTTAAGACAGTTCTGGTCCCTGACAGAGGGGTTCACCACACTTGGGAGCAGTTCATGAAGTGAATTGGCCCTCAAGACCATGTCTGGGGCTGCCCTGCACGCTTCTCTCATTCAGGCCTTACATTGCTCTCTGGCTTCTTCCCATTTTCCCAGCTTCCTCTGCTTCATGTTTCAGCCAAACCAAACCACATGCAGCTCCCTAACCAGACTACCTTTCTGAAAGTCTTGACTTCAGGTGCTATTTCCATGTGACTGAAATGTTCCCCTCTCTTCTGGGACTAACTCAGAAAACTGGCTGCCTGTAGGCCAGATATGGCTCACAGACACGTTTTGTTTAGTTCTCATACTGTTTTTAAAATACTTTTTTACATCGCTTTCCAACATTTAAAACCTGGGCAAGTCCACAGAGAAATCAGATCTTGTGCTTCAGTTGGCCATACAGTGCCTTGTTCCTTCGTGGCATCGGTCACACGTAGCTCTACTTGTCTGGACACTACTGGCATCTGAGTTTTAGACGTCGGGTATAACTTAACTTTTCAAAGTTTAGCTGCAGCACCACATCTAAAATCTTCCCTTGTCCCTGTGAAAAAATCAAAATGCGTCAGACTGAGCCATTTATGGCTGGCTGGTAACAGGCCTTGCCTGACACATTGGAGTATCTTGGTAAATATTTTTTGATAGAATCGGGATTGTTTCCCATTTTGACAGATGAAGGAAAATGAGCTCAGGATAATCTTCTAAATCAAAGAGAATAAAAGATGAAACCATTATTTGAACTTAGGCCTGTATGCATCAAAGGCCATTCACCTCCCCGCTGTAATTAACCGTCTCTGGTGCTCCTTTTACTCTATCAGCCCTATACTGGAGTCTGATGAGGGACTGGATGTCGGTGTGGAACAGAGAAGAACCTATGTGTTTGCAGCAGTAGTGCTGCTTAGTGGGAAAAGCAATGTCATTGGCCATCACACCCCATCCGAACTCTGCCAAGGGAGCTGCAGGTCTCTGGGCAAGTTACTCGTCTCTGAGCTTCCATTTTCTCCATAGTAAAACCTGATAATACCTGCATGCCTGCCTATCTCATGGAAAAATGCAGAGATAAAATGCCAGGATCAAATGGAATAGTTGATATTAGTACACTTTAAAAGCTGTATAATTTATACGTTTGTATTAAGTGTATTATCACTATTATTCAGTTTACTTGTATTTCCTATTCAATCTCCTAATCCATTAACTGCACTCAAAGAGTTAATGATTTTTCACAAAAGAAATCAATGAGATCACAGAACAAAAATCAAGATGTGTTCTCTGACTATGGCATGGATTTAAGGGTAGGCGGCGTGACACCGTCCTGGGGAAGTCATTTTTACAAGCTTCTGCTTCCCTATCTCTAAGCAGCTAGAAATGCCTATGTCCAAGGCTGTAAAGATTAAAGTAGCAGTCCCCCAACTGGGGTGACCTTAGGATCACTTGGTTGCTGATTAGTGCTAGATTTCCCACCCTCTTCCCTGGAGATTTTCTAATGCAGTAGGTCTCAAGAGAGGCCTGTGCATTTGTGTTTCTTACATGGGCCCGATGTGATTCTTAGGACCAGCCAAGTTTGGGAAAATGGATTAGAATATATGTAGAGTATATACACAGCACATAAAATACAGTGAAACCTGTGAGAGCCAGAACTCAATGGGACTGCCTTGTTTTCCCAGGTCTCGCAAGATTTTACCTTCGGAGGGGTGTGGTCTTACCACTTTTCTATTGCTCGTTGGAAAATATTTGAGTTTTCCTTCTCCGACAGATTTCTGCCTTACACAGTTTCCAGCTTTCGCAGATTTTACTGTAGTAGGTGCCCAACATCCAACATACGGCAGCTATGAGCTATATGTCTAGTGAGTATAATGAATACGTCAACCAAGAAGTTCTATAGTTTGTTTTTTCTGATTTGAATTTTGTCTTTAGTCTTGAGTAATACATGTTTTAGGGCTCCAAAAGCTGCATCAAACCAATGTCATAAAACAATATGTGCACTGACTGTTTAATGAGAAACTATTTGTTCTGTAAACCCTCATCTAAAGTACAATAAAAAAAATTTTTCAAAAAAAAAAAAGCTGCATCAAAGTCAGATTTCATACTAGGCTAAACTTATAGCTCCTTATGGCATATTATGATGCCTGGCCTGAGCCCTAGGCTCCAGCTGTTACTCTCATCAGTAAATTCAAATTATAGTATATCCTGGGAGTCAGACTCTCGTACTTGGGACATGTTATTAGGAGGGACCAGTCCCTGGAGAAGGACATCATGCTTGGTAAAGTAGACGGTCAGTGAAAAAGAGGAAGACACTCAAGGAGATGGATTGACACAGTGGCTGCAACAATGGGCTCAAGCATAGCAATGATTGTGAGGATAGTGCAGGATCACGAAGTGGTAAGTTCTGTTGTACATAGGGTCACTATGAGTCGGAACTGACTTGACAGCACCTGACAGCAACAAGGAATCAGACTTGGCTTGTTTTCAGCAACTTAGTCCAATACAAGTGGTAGATATGAGCTTCCAGAGCTATAATCTCCCTCACAAACATTGCTTGTGCTGTGCCAAGAGAGTAATAGAGCACTGATCAAGATCAAGAAGAACTCAGCATCAAATGCGAGCTCTCATCCCAGCTCTGTCACTGCCTAGCTGTGTACCCTCAGGCAGAGTGCTTAACCTCTCTGGGACTCAGTTTTGTCATCTATACAAAGGAGATACAAAGGAAATACCTCACAGGGTTGTCAGGTTTATTACATGAGACACCGCATGTAAAACACAGAGTGCTCAGCAGATTTTAGCTATTGTCTTCAGAGGAGATTGGCAGTGAGTTTGTTCACAGGACCAGAGGGAACAGTTTTTCTCGAGGGAGTTTAGACAAATGCTGGCCTTTTAAAAAGAAGCCGTGGTGGCACAACGGTTAAGCACTCGGCTGCTAACTGAAAGGTTGGCGACTTGAACCCACCCAGCAGCTCCGCGGGAGAAAGACTTGGTCATCTGCTTTCTTAAAGATTACATCCAAGAAAAATCTATGAGGCAAACTCAAATTCTTAAAAAGTCCAGACTTATTGGAACAGTCGAGACTAGGACTTCCCAAGATCATCACCCTGAGATACTCTTTAAACCTTAAATTGCAATTATCCCTTGAGGTCACTTTTTAGCTAAATAATAGATTGGCTCATAAAACAACAAAGATCACCTGTGAGTAATGAGTGCCTTGAAAAAATAATCTAGATGAGACCAAATGGTCAAAATTACTCTAAAGTTGTCGTGGAGTGGGGTTGGTAACCAATGTCACAAAACAATATGTGTACTAATTGTTTAATGAGAAGCTAGTTTGTTCTGTAAAACTTCATCTAAAGTACAATAATAAAAATAAAAATAAAAAATTACTCTAACGCAAAGATGGAAAGGTAAGGGGGCAGGGAAACTAGAGTACTGGAAGAGGTACAACCAGAAAGGAATGAATGAGAATGATGACACATTGTGAAAAACGTAACCAATATAATGGAATAATTTGTGTAGAAATTGTTAAATGAGAACCTAATTTGCTGTGTAAACTTTTACCTCAAATACAATAAAATATTATTAAAAAACAAAAAACTATGGGGCAGTTCTACTTTGTCACATGGAGTCACTATGAGTCGGAAGCAATTCAAGGACATACAACAACAAAGGCTGGTTCTTCAATGAAGGGGAGGGTTTCAGCGATGTTTTTTGGTGGCTGTAGGCCATGGGAACTGGAGAATGCCAGATGGTGGGCCTGCCTATCAAAGTTCAGGCCCCCAGGGTATTAGGTTGTTTCCTGGAATGACTTTGAATGAAACAATTCCCTTCTGACCTTTTCATCAAATTTGCAGATGTGTATCCACTTGAGTGAGTCCCCTTGTGCTATTTTGCGAAGACTCCAAATTTTAAACTTTAGATAACTGCTTCTGAATGTCTGCTTTCATACTGCACTCAAACATGAGATGTTGGGCTACAGAGCTCTCCACGTGAGCTGGTGTTATGGATTGACTTGTGTCCCCCAAAGATATGTGTAAACTCGGCTAGTCAATGATCCCTAGTACTGTGTGATTGTCCACCATTTTGTGATCTGATGTGATTTTCCTTTGTGTTGTAAATCCTACCTCTGTGATGTTAATGAGGCGAAATTAGTGGCAGTTATGTTAATGAGGCAGGACTCAATCTACAAGACTAGGTTGTGTCTTAAGTCAATCTCTTTTGAGATATAAAAGAGAGAAGCGAGCAGAGAGACAGAGGGACCTCATACCACCAAGAAAGTAGCACTGGGAGAAGAGTGCATCCTTTGGACCCAGGGTCCATGTGCTGAGAAGCTCCTAGACCAGGGGAAGATTGATGACAAGGACCTTCCCCCAGAACTGACAGACAGAGAAAGCCTTCCCCTGGAGCTGGCACCCTGAATTTGGATTTCTATCCTCCTAAACAGTGAGAGAATACATTTGTTTGTTAAAGCTACCCACTTGTGGTACTTCTGTTACAGCAGCACTAGATGACTGAAAGAGTTGGGTAGGCAAGTAATTGAATCTTCCAGGAGCTAGGCAGAACTCTAATAACCAAGAGTCCACTGTACTCCGCAGGTGCTACAGACTTTGAGCAATTCCCATTTGGTGTTGCTTTGGGTCTTTGTTCATTGTTCTTTTAAATTAGGTTTTGTAAAATAAGTAATACACAGTACAAAATAAAAACGTAGAAAAGGTATACATACAGTAAAAGGTAAGCTTTCTTACCACCCCTGACCCTTACTCTCCCAATTTTCCCCAGAGGCAGTCACTGTTCCCAGTTACTTTGACATTCTTCCAGAAATTGTCCTAGGGTAAAATCACCACAAAGTTATAGTAAAGCAAGAAGAAAGATTTTATTTGGCATATGTTCAAGAGACAAAAGTGGGAAACAGACAAGCAGGCTGC